GGGACCGCCCCAGCGCCGGGCTTATGCCGGAATAACCTGTTGGAGGCAGCCGCTGGGCGCCCCCAGCCCCCGGCGGGCTCTCCCTGCCCCCAGCCCGCGCTGGTCTCCGCCGGGACCGCCCTCCCGCGCCAAGAGTCGGGTCCTGGCCCCCGCTTCCGTCTCGAGAGTCTCTCCCGCGCTAACCGCCCGCGGGCCGGCGGGCGGGCCCCTGACACGCAGTTGTTCAGGTAACCCAGGCCTGCGGCGGCGGCAGTAGCTGCCTGCCCGGATCTCCGGCCTCGGTGCTGCTCCACTCGCCTCAGCTCTAGAGCCGGGCTGGACACAGGCCCCCGGCACAACGACTGCCGCCCCGGGCTGCCTGAGGCGACAACGGCCAGGCCCGGTTCGGCCGGGGGCGCGCTCCCAGCCCCCCACTCCGGGCCGGCTCTCCAGGCTCCGCCCTCCCGCCGCGCCTCGCAGCCAATCGGCTTCCGCCTCTCTGCAGCTCAGGAACCCGCGTGCTTCGTCACCCGTGTGCAGCGGCCCCTGGCGGGCAAATCTGGGTGCTGCAGACATGACTCGAGCCCCTGGGAGGCCCTGCCCCTTTGCAGAGGGTTGGGGAGCGCAGCGAGGACCCGCCCCAGGGGAGGCCCAATAGGGCCCACGAGTATTTTCAGAGGAAATGATGCCAGAAAACAAAATGAAACGTCCAAACGGCTATTGGTAAATTTGCCCTACATATTCCTTAAGTCTCAGCTAAAGGGCCCCATTTGCCTTCCTGACTCCGCTTCCCCGCCTCGTCCAAGCTAAGTCGACGCCCTCTCAACTCGCACAGCCTGTGTTCCTACCTGCCCCTCAACTCCCCTGCCTTTTGAGGTTTTTGCGGGTAGGGCTTGTGGCTGGTTCCTCCCTGCATCTCACTCTCCCAGCTCTATGTCGCTGGGAGGAGGTGTTAGCGACTTGAGAATGAGTGCCCCAGTGAAGAGAGAGCCGCGCCTGGGCCTCCTTCAACAGAGCCTGCACTTCCTGTTCTCTTCTCAAGCATGCTGTCAGCAAATCTTTACTGAAACCTACTCTATGCCCTACCCTGTCCTTGGCACCCGAGGCGGGGAAAGGGATTAGGCCCAGTCCTTCCTCTGACTGACAGCGCCAAGTCAGCTACCTGTTCTGAGCAAGCCCTCTGAAGACCGGGAACACGGATTTGCCCAACAGCTGCCTGGCTTAGGGGTTAGGCTGTTGATATAAAAATACACGTCTAACGTCATCTTAATTTGCTCTAGGACCCAAATTAAGCTTGAACTATTGCCAGAGGCAAAAATGATAAAACTGAGGCTGTCCTCCTGAGGGCACATCATGAGAAGGCAGGACTCTTTGGAAAAGACAATAATGCTGGGAAAAGTAGAAGGCAGCAGGAAGAGGAAGATGAAATATGAGATGGATTGACTCCATAAAGGAAGCCATAGGCAGGAGTCTACAGAAGCTGAGTAGGGCTGTTGAGGACAGCACAATGTGGACATCATTCAGTCATAGGGTCTCCAGGAGTCGGAGCTGACTTGATGGCACGTAACAACAACATCATTTACTCCCACTCTCCCCACTCTCTTATTAAGCTCCAGTTACACTGGCCTGTTTCAAGTTCCTCAAACACATCGAACCTTAGCCACCTCACAGCCTTTGTATCTGCTGCTGCTTCTGCCTGAAACACTCTTTCCCACATTCCTCATAGGGCTCGCCTCACACCCTTCCAGATATAGTTCAAGATTACCTCCTCAGAAACGCCTACTCTGACCAGCCCCTGCGGTGCAGGGTTGGACCATACACATATCTGCCTACTCCTGCCCCATAGGACTGTAAGTTTTCAGAGGTCAGGGGCTGTGCCTTATTCATCTCCGGGAAAGGAGGATCTAGCCATAGGCCTGTACTTAGGAAGTGCTCAGTAAAAGCTCGTTGACATGAGTTAATTCATTTGATCACTCAAATATTTTTTGAGTAATAACTATGTGCTGGGAAATTGGCTGAACAGAAAATGAGCCCCTGACCCCTAGGGGGGTCTGCTAGACCTATGCTCTGAGCCAGAGGTCTTAAACTCAAATGGCAAAGTGGACAGATGATAGGTAATAAAATTAAGAGAAGGGGGAGTAATAGGGAGTGGTGAGGACTGTGGCACACTGGAGAGCAGGCAGGAAGGTGGACTCAGTATTGCTGGATCACTTTTAAGAGAAGAAGGAAAATTGGACTATTATATGACACATCCCTTTTTTTTAGTATTAGCAACTAATTTTTTTTTTTTTTTTGGTGTGGAAGACTGACCCTGAGCTGTTACCCATCTTCCTCTTTTTGCTGAGGAAGATTGGCCCTGAGCTAACACCTGTGCCCATCTTCCTCCATTTTGTATATGCGATGCCGCCACAGCATGGCTTGACAAGTGGTGTATCAGTCCATGCTCAGGATTCGAACCTGCAAACCCCAGGCCGCCGAAGCAGAGCGCACGAACTTAACCACTATGCCACCAGGCCGGGGCATTAGCAACTAATCTTTGAAAGTATAAAACCCTGTATAGGCCACACAAAATACACCTGCAGCCTAAATTAATCACTCAGACTGCTGGTTTGTCATTTCTGCCTAAGCCAGCCCACCTGCCTGTTCACTCATTTGTCTAAGAGAACGCACAAGAAGAAAGGAAAGTAGGGGCCGGCCCGGTGGCACAAGTGGTTGCGTGCGCGCGCTCCGCTGCAGCGGCCCGGGGTTCGCTGGTTCAGATCCCGGGCGCGCACCGACGCACTGCTTGGCAAGCCATGCTGTGGCAGCGTCCCGTATAAAGTGGAGGAAGATGGGCACAGATGTTAGCCCAGGGCCGTCTTCCTCAGCAAAAAAAGAAGGAGGATTGGCGGATGTTAGCACAGGGCTGATCTCCTCACAAAAAAAAAAAAAAGGAAAGTAGAGCACGCTTAACACAACTTCCTTTAAACTTGACTGCATCATTTCTCTTAGCCACCACGTGGTTTCTTGGGGGTATAGGTGCGTAACACATTTGGTACAAAGAGCCTAGGTCTTGGAGGCAGGAAGTGAGGGTCTGTTACCAATTCACACCAAGACCTTGAACCTTTTGGAGCATGCTGCATTTCCTGTGAGGCTAAAATGGTATCTGGGAACTAAAAATAGAATTACCCTATGATCTAGCAATTCCACTTCTGAGTATATACCAAAAAAAATTTGAAAGCAGGGTCTCAAAGAGATATTTGTACACCCATGTTCATAGGAGCACTATCACAATAGCCAAAAAGGTGGAAGCAACCCAAGTGACTGTGGACAGATGAATGGATAGCAAAAGGTGGTATATTCATACAATGGAATATTATTCAGTCTCAAAAGGAAGAAATTCTACATGCCACAACATGGATGAACCTTGAGGACATGATGCTAAGTGAAATAAGCCAGTCACAAAAGACAAGTACTATATGATTCCCCTTATATGAGGAACCTAGAGTAGTGAACTTCATAGAGACAAAGTAGAATGATGGTTGCCAAGGGCCAGGGAGAGGGAAAGGATAGGCAGTTGTTTAATGGATATAGTTTCAATTTTGTAAAATGAAAAGCGTTCTGGAGACTGGTTGCAAAACAATGTGAATGTACCTAACACAACTGAACTGTACACTTAAAAATGGTTAAGATGGTAAATTTTAGGGCCGGCCCCGTGGCTTAGCGGTTAAGTGCTCGTGCTCCACGGCTGGCGGCCCGGGGTTCGGATCCCGGGCACGCACCGACGCGCTGCTTCTCCAGCCATGCTGAGGCCGCATTCCACATACAGCATAAAGAAGGATGTGCAGCTATGACATACAACTATCTACTAGGGCTTTGGGGGAAAAAATAAATAAATAAAATTTAAAAAAAAGATGGTAAATTTTATGTTATGTGTATTTTACCACAATTAAAAATAAACATAAATGATGTCTGGGAGACAAAACCATGGCCTAGACAACAGCATCAGCATTTTCTGATGTCAGCATCGTGATGCTGACATCAGAAAAGCCAGTTACCCTCTGGATTTCAGTCTCCCCAACTATAGGATGTGTAGGTACCAGATTATGGATCCAATTCAGCTTTCATATTCTACAAGATAGGAAAATCCTGAAACTTCACGGATCTTCCTGGATCAGAAGCCATGACTCTCAACTCAATAGCCCGTATGTTGGGTCTTCATGTGTGTGTAGCCTTTGCAAGAACTTACCACATTGTGAGTCTCAGGAGGAAACAGAGCTTTTTTTTTTTTTCCCCCCTCATCTCTGTGTCTTTTTTTAAACCTGTACACCAATCCTTTACCATGTGCCAGGTGTATCTCCCTTGAATCGCTCTTAGGGCCTTGCTCCTGATAGATATTCTGCAGATGTCAGTTAAATCGAATTGGATTAACAATTCTTATGTCTCTATCCCACTATTTGCAAGAGCTTTCACATCTATTATCTCACCTCTGCCTCACAAGAGCTCTGCTAGATAAGACAGAGGCTATACTCATTTTACAGATGAGGAAACTGAGGCTGTGGAGATGAAGTAGTAGCAACCACATCAAGCTCTCTTTCTCCTTTGGGATTTCTTCCCCATCCTTCAAGTCTAAGCTCAACTGAAATAAAAGCATCCCTGCCTTGACCAATGATGACAGCATATCATAAAGCAAGAGTTACGATTAGTCAAAAGAAAAAAAGAGAGACTCAGCTCAAAAGTTGCCCCTTCCTGAACCCTCATGCACTGCTGGTGGGAATGCAAATTAGTGGTGCCACTATGGAAAACAGTATGGAAATTTTTGAAAAAATTAAAATTAGAAATACCATATGATACAGCTATTCCACTTCTGGATATTTATCCAAAGAACATGAAAACACTAATTCAAAAGATACATGTACCCCTATGTTCATCACAGCATTGTTCACAATAGCCAAGACTTGGAAGCAACCCAAGTGCCCATCAATGGATGAATGGATAAAGAAGATGTGGTATATATACACAATGGAATACTATTCAGCCATTAAAAAAAAAGACAAAATCGTGCCATTTGCGACAACATGGATGGACCTTGAGGGTATTATGCTGAGTGAAATAAGTCAGACAGAGAAAGACAAGTACCATATGATTTCACTCATATGTGTAACATAAACAGACAAACAAGCACACAGATAAGGAGAACAGATTGGTGGTTACCAGAGAGGAAGGGAGTGGTGGGGAGGATGAAAGGAGTAAAAGGGCACATATGTATGGTGATGGATAAAAAATAGACTATTGGTGGTGAGCACGATGCAGTCTATACAGAAACTGATATATAATAATGTACACCTGAAATTTACACAATATTATAAACCAATACGACCTCATTAGAATATCTCAAAAAAAAAGTTGCCCTTCCTTCCCTAAATTGCCTTGTCTGTACCTTAGATTACTTCTATAACTGGATTATGTTTATCTAATAAGGGGCTGGCCCCGTGGCTTAGCGGTTAAGTGTGCACACTCCGCTACCGGCAGCCCCGGTTCAGATCCCGGGCGCACACCGACATACAGCTTGTCCAGCCATGCTGAGGCAGAGTCCCACATACAGCAACTAGCAGGCTGTGCAATTATGACATACAACTATCTACTGGGGCTTTGGGGAGAAAAAAAAAGGGTGGGGGGAAAGGAGGAGGATTGGCAATAGATGTTAGCTCAGAGCCGGTGTTCCTCAGCAAAAACAGGAGGATTGGCGTGGATGTTAGCTAGGGCTGATCTTCCTCACACACACACACAAAAAAATTATCTAATAAGTATCTTCCCCATTAGCCTCTTTGCTCATCAAGGACTGTGCTTTATTCATCTTTATATTCTCCCAGGCTAGGACTTTACCTAGTACATAGCTGGTACTCAGTGAAAGTGAATGAATGGGGGCCAGCCCAGTGGTGGTTAGGTTCGTGCACTCCACTTTGGCAGCCTGAGGTTTGCAGGTTCAGACCCCAGACGTGGACCTACACGCACTTATCAAGCCATGCTGTGGCAGGTGTCCCACATATAAAGTAGAGGAAGATGGGCATGGATGTTAGCCCGGGCCAATCTTTCTCAGCAAAAAGAGGAAGATAGGCAACAGATGTGAGCTCAGGGCTAATCTTCCTCCCCACCACCAAAAAAAAAAGGGAATGAATGAATGGTGTGTGTTCTGTTCAGCAGCCTAGCTGTCCTTCCTGTACACCACAGGGCTTCTGTTTACCAAAAGCTTTCATTTGGAAAGGGAGGGAATCTTCAGTAGAAGTGTAATGAAGGTCCTAAATCAGCTCAGAAACATGTAGGAATCCCTGAGTTTGGGCTGTGTTATCAGTGGCGCTCCCTGGTGTCCAAAAATGGCAAGTACAGTCATCACTGGGAAGGTAGGGAATGAAGAGAGACATGGTGGCCTCTAACAACTATTCCCAGGCTAGTTTCACAAACAGAATCATCTCCCCTTCCAGAATCAGTTGTAGAATCTTACTGCCAATGTTCATTCATTTAACATCTACTGAGTACCTGTTCTTAACGACCCAGTTCCTACCCTCAAAGAGCTCTGTTTTTAGGGGAAATATGTATATATGAAGAGTAATTAGTACTTGTTGACAATGTCTTGAGAGGAATTGGTACAGGGGCAGGTGAGGGAGCACAGAGGAGGGATAAGTAACCGCCTAAAGCAGAGAGGCTGTGCAGAGGCATATGGATTGGATGGGGTGAGACGGAGGGGTTCTGGAATTAGACTGCCTAGATTCACATCCTGGCTCTGCTGTATGACTCGGGGCAAGCTGAGTTGCTCCTAGAACACACCGGGGCTGAAGGAGAAATTTCCCAGAGGAGATTATGCCAGATGACCTGAATGCCACCCAATTTGGAGAAGCTCAAAGATACAAAGGTGTCCTGGAAGCAAACAGGACAGCTATTGTTCTGCCTGCCTGGGAGGAGGCACCCTCCTGGAGGATGGGGCATGCCCTTGGCTCTCCTAATCCTATCCAGTTGGTTCCTCAGAGGGAATCAGGAACAATGAGCAGAGGACACGACTCTAGAACTTTGTTTCATTTGCCACTTCCCCTGTTCACTCTTTCTGCTATCTCCTGTTTTGCTTATCACTTTCTCATGTCACAAAATGGGACATCGGGCTTGTCTTTGGGGGTAGCAATGAAGGGGAGACTCCTACTTCTACTCTTCAGGCAGGCTGAGAGAAGAGACCAGGGAATCAAGAGGAGCCCGAAGAAGGCTGAGTCTTTGGAGCCACGTCAGAGACAAAGGGAAACTCAGATGTAGAGTTAACTTGAAGAGGTTAGGACTGGGACTGAGCAGAAGACCCTTGTGGGCCACTGGTGAACTCCAGGAGCTGGAGCTCGGTGAGGGCTGGGCTGGGGAGACCCGTTTGGAAGACACCAAGGCAGGAGTGAGTGAGAAAGGCAGGGCCTTTCTCCTCCTCCTTGTCTCCACCCTGCTCTTTTAGGGGAACTGAGTCAGCTTTAGCATTTTCACCTTGAGAAAGAGGGAAGAATTGGTGAGGGGGAAAAACCTGAGAACATCATGGGTGTATGAAGAAATTAACTAATGTTTATGTGTTGTAGTCTGGGCAACCTGCTAGCCACTCCATTTATTATCTCATTTAATCCTCATGATCCCACAGAGCACAAAGTACTGTCATTTCTGTTTTAAAATGAAACTAAATGGCTCTGTTATATGCTCTTGTAGCAGTCTGTACTTTTGTATGATTACCTGTTTAAGAGCTATTTCCAGGGGCTGGCCCCACGGTGTAGCGGTTAAGATTGCGCGTTCTGCTTCAGCGGCCTGGGTTCACAGGTTCGGATCCCACTCACCAGCCTCGCTGTGGCGGCAACCCACATATAAAGTAGAGGAAGTTGGCACAGATGTTAGCTCAGAGCTAATCTTCCTCAAGCAAAAAAGGAGGAAGACTGGCAACAGATGTTAGCTCAGAGCTAATCTTCCTCAGCAAAAAAAAAAAACAAAAAGAAACCAAAAAAAAAGATTTATCTCCCTTGCTATTTACATCTGGATAGGGACTTGTCTATGTTTTCACCACTGCATTAATGGCATATGACACTGTACCTGGCCCAGAGAAGGTTTTCACTAAGTATGTGTTCAAAGAATGAATGAGAGAAGTCATGTAACTTGTAATTTGTCAAAGACCACAGTGTAAGTGGTACAACCAGGATTTGAATCCTGAACTGTTTGGCTCCAGAAACTGTCTGTGGTCTCTCTATTCTACCCCCACCAAGTGCTTCATATGTTGTCTCACTTATAAATGTTCTGGCTCGGTGTCCTTGTCTCTCTGCTGCTTGTGAACACAAATGTACACCGTGTACCAAGAACTCACCTATGCAGGGAAAGCAAGTGAGAGAGTAGGAAGAAGAAAAGCCCTCTTCCTACCCTCTTCAGCTCAGCATCCTCCTCCTCCAAGAAGCCTTTGCAGACAGACCCACCAGTCCTCCTGACTCTCTCTCCTCTGGCCTTACTGGCCCTTCCTACATCTGTGCCACAAAAGTGACTCCAAGTCACCTGGCCTCTGGTGGTTCTACACATATGAGTGCTTTATTAATGCAATTTAATTCCACAGATGTATACTGAAGGCAACTGTGTGCTCAGGCCTGCTTGTGCCAGGACCAGTGGGTGGACACAGAGATGAATCAGACACAACCTCAAAGGACTTACAGTCAGTGGGGGAGACAGACATTAGGCACAGATACAATTAACTAGAACACAAAGCAAGATGACCTAAATGGTATGAAAGAACGATGAGCAGTGTGCTACCTACATAAACCTTAACTACTTAATTATTATTCTGAAGAATGTATCATAGAAGGTTAGAGCTCAAAGCTATCATCTGGTTCAACTCCTTGTTTTCCACTGGAGGAGTCTGAGACCCAGAGAAGGGTGAGGCCTAGCCTAAAGTCTCACTAGCCAGTCTGGCTGAGCCAAGACTAGACTTCAGATCTTTTGAAGCCCAGCCCAGGGCTGTTTCCCCCTCCGGTAGCTTCACATGCAGAAGTCCCATATCCCACTAGACCATGAGATCCTCAAGGCCAAGTCAGGATCTCCCACTAAGCAAACCGAACCAGGGCCACAACCAGGGCTCAGGAAATGCAGTCTGACCCCAGGCTGCCAATCCAGGTTTTTTGTCTACTGCACCTAATGTGTATCCTACTATGCCCCTAAAATTGATTTTAAAATATTTTTTGCAGGAAATTTTTTTTTAAATGAACTTTTTATCTAGAACACTAGCATATAAATCACATAAAAGCAAACCAACTCTGGCTGAAGGGGAAGAAGGCCAAAGCGCCGCTATTTTCCTGTCCTCAAGTCCTGGGAAGGGAACTCTAGGAACACAGCTCAAAAACCTGTGTTCTGAGACACAATTTTTAACGGCTTCATAGAAGCCGTAGTAGCATGTGGTCCTTCTCTAAACCATGTCTTTTACGGAAACTCACAATTCTTTCTTCATCATCAAATGCCGAGCACTAGCCATGTACTCCCAGTAGGGTATGAAGGGAAATGAGGTTTTCCCCTTGCCTTGCTTGTTTTCCTCTTCTCCATAGGGTGGAGTTTGTCCCAAGTGGCAAGGGAGGAAAGAGACCCAAACTCTGCCTCGGGGCGGGGAGGGGGGGTCGGGGGGGGGTGGTCAGATGAAGCCTTTCCGGAAGGATCATGGAGGATGAATTCATCTACTGAGCTATTTACCAGCCTGAATCTGATAGAAGCTCTAACTTTGCTGTCCCATACCATACCCACCAGCCACATGTACTATTGAGCAATTGAAATGTGTCTAGCCAAAATTCAGACGTACTTTAAGTGTAGAACACACACCAGATTTCAAAGACTTAGTACACAAAAAGAATGTAAAATGTCCAATTCATTTTTATAATCAATAATTTTTATATTGATTACATGTTGAATGATAATATTTTGGATATGTTGTGCTAAGTAAAATATATTATTAAAATTAATTTTACCTGTTTCTTTTTACTTTTTAAAAAATGTCACCAGTAGAAAATGTGAAGTTACATACGTGGCTCACATTATATATTCGTTGGACAGCACTGGGAGAGACTATCAAGGGCATGGCAGAGGTAGTGTGTGTTGTTGGAAGGAGGGATCGTGGCAGCCAGGCAGGGAATAGTCCATTAGGGCCAGATTGTGAAAGACTGAGTCGATTTCGTGTGGCAGTCAATACAGGAAAGAAGTCAGGCAGAGAGAATGAAATCCGCAAAGACCCAAAGATGGGGGCAGGCACCTTGGGTTTAGGGAACTCATTCTTACAATTTTGTTTTGTTTTGTTTTTCTTTAAGGTATTTGTTGAGTATTTACTTTGAGCCAGGCATTGACAGCAGGTCTTTCACATCCATTCTCATGTTATCTGCACAACTATAGGATTAAGGAGAGGTTATTCTATTTTACCAAAGACAGAACTGAGGCTCAAAAGGGTTAAACTACTTATTCTCAGAGGTGTTCCTCCTCTTTATTTGGAAAGCCTCTAGGAGACAGGGAGCCTGTCTTTAAGCGCTTCTCCGTTTTCCTCCACTGCACTTAGCACGGAGCCCTGCACGTGATTGGCGCTTACAAAGTTTGTGTTGAACCGACATCTCAAGTCAGAGCTCCACGCGCAAGTCCTGGGAGCAGAAGCACCAGAGGGCGCCCACGAGTCCGCCCAACCGCCGGTCCCCAGGGCCCCGGGACGATCTCAGGCCTGGGTGCGGCCCTTCAGTCTCAAGCAGTTGCGCGCCCCGGCGAGAAGAGGAGGCAAGGGGAGCCCCACGTTCTCCGTCCGCCCCGGCCCCTCCCCAGAGCCCAAGCGCGCGGAGCCGCCGGGTGCGGAACGACGACAGGACATCCTGTTTTTTGGGGCCCGCGGCTCCGCCTGCGCCTCTGCTGATCTCGTCTTCCCCCGGGTGCTGACGCCAGCTCCCCTTCCCCCAGTCTCCGCACCCTCCCCAGGGGTCTGGGGCCTTCCCACTGCTGAATCACCACCACCCTGCATTCCCCCGGGGCTCGGGGCAGGGGTGGGGACTGCCCCAGCCTGATCCATTCTGGCCAGCCCCCAGCCTTGGCCATCGCTCTATCCCTGGGCTTAACTGAAGGCACTAGGCCTAGGGGCGCCTGTTCTCAGCATCTTCCCGCGGGGGTTAGTGGGCGCGAGATACGGGGAGGGGGACAAAAGCCTAGCGCCTCTACTGGGGTGGGGGTGACCAGGAGGAGAGAAGGAGGCTTGACCTCATGGGCCTCACAGGCAGAAGGCTGGGGTGGGGAGCCCGGCACTGGGCAATGGGCGAGGCTGGTGGGGGGAGACC